TCAATGATATGATATAATTGTATAAGAAAAACGATTCTGAGCGAAAACTGTCAGTCAGCCTATAATATTACTAAGTATATTTGATGATATTAAGGTGAATAAAGTAATTTATATTTAACCTATTTACGTGGAGTCTTGTTGTTCAATCCTTAGCTATAAAAGTTGAACATTTCATAAAATTATTATTAAATTTTAAATGTGATAAATTTTGCCAAAATTTTAACTTTAAATGCTTACAATAAACAATGTACCCATGTATTTTAAATATTTTTCAACTGCTATTGTAACAATATGTCAATATATCAGGAGCTTTGCATTAAATTTTCAAGCTTTTATATCCAACAAATTTTATTGATATTTATAGAAAAAAAACTAAAAAAAATGGAAACTGAAAATGTTCATAAAGAGCTCAAAATAACTCAAAATATTTGAATATTTTATCATGTATAGAAATTGGAAATACAAGCAACCAGTGAAATTTTCATGTTTATACGTTCATTCCCACACAACAATAAAATATTGTCAACACGTTTCCATAATATGTTAGAGGAACATATTTTAATGTCTAAAATATTATGAAAAAATGTTTTCTAAGTTGTATATTCGTGATCTGAATATGTTTTGGCACAAATATCAATATGTTTACAATATGATTCACATATATTTTCATCACATTAATTATTACAGATTTCCAATAAATGATTTTATGATGTTTTTCATAGGGTATAAAATATTTGTAGTCAAATTTATTGTTGATTCTATGATTGGTTTGAAATGTTAAAACATAATATAATACTCGTATTTCTGTTTAGCTGAATAAATTATGGATATTCTATATCAGTATAGCAGTATTGTATAGAATCTTGAATCTTGATACAATAAGTATAATGAATAATTATTAATTTTTTTGAATACTTTTTTATATACTTTATATATTTATTTATTTTAATATTTATAATCTGGCAATAATTAATATGCTATGCCAGAATATATTACATTTAAATATATATATTATATAATGATGGTTATCGTTTATCAATACCTATAATCAATAATATATAATAAATTCAAAATTGTAGGTATATACAACATCATATTATATGAATAAAAAAGCAAATTAAAATTAAAAAGGCATTAATCATTATATATTTAATATAAAACCAAAAGATTTAACATAATAAAAAAAAAATTTAACTCGACTTGTAAAAAAATATTAAATACAATGTAATATAATGTATTAAAATGTCGTAAAAATTATAGCTAGTGATATAATACTTGCGAAAAAATAAAATAAAATCAGATATAATTTTTGTATGTATAATAATAATAAATATTAAATACAATATAATATATAATACCCAATGTATATATATATGTGTATATTAATATATATATATAGTAAATATAGTTGAAACAAACATAGTGTATAAAATAAAAAGTTTAAATCTTATTTTATCTCAATTTATGCATGATAAAAATATATTAACATAACAAAAAATAATATAATAAGTAAAAAAATTACATGTATCTTTTTAATGGAATATTATAATAATAAAAAAATCATAAGTAACCTATTGTATGAAAAATTGATAATAGTAACAATAAAATAAATAAATAATTTATAAGTGCTGTACTACATGAATAGAATCATTTTTTGTTTTTATTAAGCGGTTATTAGCTTGTGCTAACCAGGATTTCATTGGGTTGGAGATATCACAATCTGGTACATTCTCAAATTTTTTCACTCTTCTTATAGAATCTAAAATACAACAAAAAATTAAAATATGTTAACAATTTAAATATTAATATTGTTACCAAAAATTAAAGAACAACTGCGGAGTTTTGAAGTTTTTTATCCCTTTGAAGCCGATAAAAGAAAAATTTGACAAAAAGTGGTCTGTAAACATTCGCTGCATCATAACTCTTATGGTTATAGGTATGTTCCTTGAAATTGCTCTAGACAATATAATTTCCTATAAAATAAAAATAAATATAATATGATGAAACAAATGTTTTTTCCATATTTGTGTATAACATTATTACTCACACATTGCCTCTTCTTAGTTTTATCCTGTAATAAATTTTCAAACTCATCTAAATCATCATCATTCTTAAGAGGCCATAAAGAAATTAATGAATAAAACATAATATCATCTGCAAACGCTTCATTACTACTATTTGTACCAATACTTCTATTATACAGTTTAAAACTTTTGAGATTTTCCTCAATAAAATCAATTTTTTTCTTTTAAGCAATCAATTTTATAAGTATGACTTTTTATTTCATACTTTATTTCTGCTAAGCACGAAGAAACATGTTTTTCAAAAGGCACATACTGATTTTTTTCTGTAAAAATAATGAATAATATTAAATAATTATAGCCTAACCTTATATTATATACAATGATTTAAAAAGCGAAGCATGGTACCAATATACCCATTAAAACCCTATAGAAAACTTTATCCAAATTTTAAATGTATATCACTAATGGAAGCAGTCAGTTTACTTAAAAATAGCCAAGTATGTGAACAATTTGCAATTGAATCCATACAATTCAAAATACTCAAAATAATATTCTAAATAATTTTGATACTAAAATCAGTAATTATTTTAATTTATATGCAGAAACACAACAAAAACAATGATCATTATATTATTATGTTTAGTATACCTAATGGCTAATTGTGTTAATTGTTTGATATTCTTACTTTTCAAAGATTTTTTATCAGAAGAATATAACAATTTATTCAGACTTCTGTTTACATTTGAACCGCTTTTTGAATAATATGATGAACTCTTTTGTAAAACATGACTTGTTGATAGATTATTGTTACTCGTCGGTGTTGTGTCTAAAACATGCATATTTATAACGTTAATTTATTTAAAAACAATACAAAAGTATATCCATTATAATAGTTACCAAGATTCTTTGAAGATTTTTTCTCAAAATTAATATTATTATCATTATCAGGGAAGAGACTCCTTTTCACATTTGAACCGTTTTTTGAATATGATGAACTTTTTTGTAAGACATGACTTGCAGATAGATTATTGTTACTCGTCGGTGTTGTGTCTAAAGTATGCATATTTATTAAGTTAATTTATTTAAAAACAATACATTGGTATATCCATTATAATAGTTACCAAGATTCTTTGAAGATTTTTTCTCAAAATTAATATTATCATCATCATCAGTAAAAAGACTTCTGTTTACATTTGAACTGCTTTTTGAATATGATGAACTTCTTTGTAAAACATTATTTACATTTGAATAGGAATTCTTTTCTTTTTTTGGTTGAACATGTAAATTGTTTGTAGTGTATTTTTCTTTGTTAACTGGAAAAAATTATTTTTATTACTATAGATAAAATAATTTATATTATGTTATACATTAATTATAGCTTAAAATACACAAATACATAATTTAATATGATATAGTCATACAAAACACAGGTGGTGGGCTCTTCAACCCTCTATTTCTTGAACTTTTTACTATTTCAGGTGAACTGCTATTACTGCAGGCTCTTTTATTTGCTCTAATTTGACGAGTATGACGTTCATCGTCTGCAGTGGATAAATCGGAATTGAATTCAGCCGTAGATAGCTTACTTTTTGCTTCTTCATATGAAGCTAAAATTACAAAATATTAATATATTTGAAATGTAATTAATAATGTATATTTTTGAATTATTATTACCAAATTTATGACCAAGTTGTCGTGCGGGATAAAAGTTAAAATCAAATTTGTTGGGAATAGTTCTTCGAGTTACAAATTTTTTAATATTTGATGATTTGATAGGCCAGGCACTTTCATTATTTTTGAACCATGTACTTGGTACTACTTCGACAGAATCTTCTTTATAGAAATGTGCAATTATGTACATGATGATACTCTTATTACAATATATGGTATTAATATTTGTATTATTATTAATATTATATTATAATCTGCAAACAATAAATACAAAAAACGGAATAATTTAACAAATAATGAGCATAATATTATTAGGTATATAAATTAAATCATAAATTACCTATTAACTAACTATATTTACATTTGTATTAGGTATAGGTACATTATTGTATATACAGTTATTATATACATTATTATATACATTATTGTACAGCTTAAATTATATTTATTATTTATTATTTGTTATGCAGTTTCATTAGGTATATTATAATACAGTTTTATAGATTTCAGAATGTAAGATAGGTAATGCCACATATCTATCTTTAAAAGGCAGTATCATAATTTTTTTACTTATTTTATCAACATTCCATAGCTGAAAGTAAGTTGATATATTATCAACCAAATAAATATCTAAAATAGTTGAATCCATAGGTTTTATATATGCCGGTGACTTGTTCATAAAATGTTTTCCTAGGATAAATGTTTCTTTTTCCCCATTTACACATGTTTCCATAATATTAAAGCATTTTACAATATGATTACAGTTTGTTAAAATAAATTGATCTCTTTTGCAATTAATATTAATTTTAAAATTATTAAAAATTAGACATGAATATTGATATCCAGTAATAGTAGCAAAATCTTGCAGTGGACCATTTTTATGAATTTTTTTTAAAGTATAACTTTTACAAGTTTTTAGAGCATTAGAGGAGTGATGAATTTTAGTATATTTTTGTTCGCTATAACGGTTAATTAACTGTTGCAATGGTTTTTCATGCTTCCTCAACATTGACTTAATTTCTTTCATATAGTTCTCAAATGGGTAGCAACTACATTTATCCAATGGTCCATAACGCTCATAATCAGATGTTATGTGTAATAGACTATGAACATTGTGTGACACGTTATGAGTCCCATAAATATTTTGAAATGTTTCCACAAAGTATTCCAAAAGTGTTTGAGCATAAGAGGATAAATTTTGATGATCTGGACTCAAAAGAATGACCATGGCCACATTTAAACACATGAAATTACTATAACAATCATCAGTTATAATATCTTTGAGTACAAATGGTCCAATATAAATTAGAAATAATCGAAATTCTGTAGACTTCCATCGAAGAATATCTTGAACTTCTCTAGGTTTTCTACAAAATTCTGAATAACAAACGGTCTCAGTTTTAGTAATAATTCAGTTAACTCAGATATTTTTTTCCCAGAAAGTCGAACATTTGAAGGCCCTTTGAGAACCCAAAAAGACAATAGCTTACGCATTACCCCTAAATTTGTGAGGTGCATATAATCTAAAATAAAAGATTTTGTAATATCAAAATTAGGTAAATTGGTAATTATTGAAGGATTTGGTGAATTATGATATTCTTCATTTTTGCAATTTCGATAGTCTTCATCAGTTCTTGGAGCAGAATATATATTTGAATATGGGAAACAAACACGATTATTTATGTATTCCCCTTCAATAATGCATCGTGAACATGAATTAAAACCAGAGTGATATTTTGTCTTCAACACAAAACAGCGAGCAGAGACATCACAACAAATTACTTTAATAGAAACAAACATTTTTAAGTTGTTAATAATAATTCCATTATCAGATAATTCACGTGCTTCCATAACAAAATCATATATAAAATCATCACTGTCTTTAGGTTTGGAATTTCCATGATAAATACCTACAGGAAAAACTGTTTGTTTTGAGTTGTCAGTGTTCATAATAAATGCCAAAATAGGCCATAGTTGGCTATTACTAGACTTTGTTAATGGCAATCCATCAATGCCTATTGCGATTTGAATAACCGAATCATTTACCGAACTGTCTTGTAAACACTGAACTATACCAATAGCCAAACCAAAGTGATGATATAATCCAGGGTCGACATTACGAATATATTTTAAATTTGGTGACTGGGGTGTAGCTAATAAAGTTCGGCTGTCTTTAGGTAATTTAGAAAAACATTTATGTTTTTTTAAAATTGATAACAGTTGATTCATACTGTTAAATGGTATTTTACAACTAACTGCCCAGTCTGCAAGCATTTCATTAATATTAGGCTCTGTTTCTACAGAAAGTAATTGATCATCTTCATCACTGCAGTCTATACCTTGAAATGGGTTGTTTGATTCAGTGTCAATAACTAAAGTAGGTGATTTAACATCAAAAAAAATACTAGTGGAGTCATAAGCAGCATTTATAGTATTAGTAGCAACATCATCTTCACAATTCAATGAAATTGAATCATTTTGATGCATATCATTTATTTGTGATTCTTGTGGATTATTATAATCAATGCTATCTATTTCAGCTTTAATTCTTCTTAATTTTGTTCTATTGCTTTTAATCATTTTAATAATATGTTATAGTTTATGCTATAAAAATAATAATTATAAAATTATAATACCTATACAGTTAGGCTTACATTTTACAAGTACCTATGATTTAAACTGCCTAATTAGTATAAATAATAATTTTTAAGTTAAAGGTACATTGCGGTATATAAAACTGGTTTTATTGTAATGAAAAATTGAAAACACATAATATGCCTGTATTATTATTATAGATCATAAAAATAATTGTACCTATAAACTTGCAAGCACTATTTTTAAGTATGATTAAAAAAATATCAGCTAATATCATTATATCATTAGCTATTTTAACAATAATACCCTCGATAATAGTATACCTTTCGGCTAAAGGCATATTTTAGATATCAAATTCTTTATAGTCAGATAATTATAATTTAAAATTTAAATTACAGAAATGTAATCTAGGTTATTATAGTTAAACAGGATATAATTATGTATTTAAATTTTAACTTGGCACAGGCCTATTTGAATTTTGAACAAATATTTTCTAATAAAAATTGATTAAAACGAGGCAAAACCTAATATACGTAATTATTAAATTTAAAAAAGATAAAAACATCAGTAATAAAAAAAATCAAAAGCCACTTTCCTAAATAATAGCGACAATAGTTACAAAATAACTTGGTACCTAAATGCAGTGCTTAAATTGAGAGGGATGCGGGGGTCAGAGTCCCTTTTCATTGTTTTTCAATTCAAGCATTGTCTATATGTACCTTATTCATATTAGGTACCTAATAGTTATACTATAAATATGAAATAACCTTTAAAAAAAATAATTCAATAAAATTGTTTTAATATGATATACTATGCTAATAATTTGTAATATCTATATTGATTGTGTTTAATGTTTATGGTTTATTGCAGAATATTGAATTGTTTTTCAATATTTATTAAGTTGTATGATATAGCTGATTTGGTTCTTAAATTAATATTTAAAGCCCTTTTTATGAATAAGACGTTAAAACTGCATACAAAATAGTAATGTACCTAGTATAATTATCAAGATAGTTGTACTACACCCAAATAATGTATACCTACTCTGTTCACTACGGTTCAAGAGGTAAGGATTCCGGCACTATTAGTCTATAATAAAGGAGAATGGGAATAAGACAAAGTGGAGTTGTTGGATCTTCGCAACAATGTGACATGCGATTTAGTCGGTAGTACCTTCGTCCTTCACACGTGACTCGTAAGCTTACAAAGTATATACTATATTATAATAATATATATTGTATAAATAAAACAAAAGTATGTACTTACGATTTTACTCGCCAATCAACCACTCAATGCTCAATTTTTTTTAAAATATAAATCGCGTTAATCTTCCGTAAAATTTCGCCGTATTGCCGTAATCGCAATTCTTATTTCTTAGGGCCGTTCTTACAATGTCCGGTAAAGTGTCGGTTAGCGTTAATGTATATTGTATATTTGTATGGCCAGAGTGCCAGACGCTGCGCAGTGCCGAACTGAGTAACTGACAAAGTGCCAGTCGCCAGGCGGTCGGCGGGCCTCGAGGTGTACCGCCGAGTCGTGCGCAAGCGTACGTCAACGCTCCTCTAATTGGAGTGGGGAAACCTCATACTCGGTACCCGGTATAATGGCGATCGGTAGTGTGGTTATCAACTGATAACAAAAGACCATCTACTATGCTACCATGGCTAAATATATAGGTATGATCTCATTGAGACGCATTTTCGTTAGGAGCTACGCATGTACTATTATTCCATGATATAGCATGGAAAAAAATCTCAGCTGGCAGTGATTTTTATCATCGGCTTTTGCCGCTTTCGTTGATGTTGATAAACGATTAGTCTAATAATATTATACCATACTAGCTCTAAGTGTAACTCGGGGCCCGTCGGACTCGCTGGGAGTAGGTACCGATTTTGGAGACAATGAATTATAAAAGTCTCAAAGGTTGTAAGACGAAAGTTTAGGATTTGTGATAAGGATTAGTGATATGGATTGGAGATAAGGCTAGACGCTTTGGCGGGAATGTTTAAAGTTTGAGCGTCTAGCAATCCGTCACAAACGTTGTAAATGGATAGGCTGGATACGATCTCCAAGATCACCGATATAGAGTATACCTGCACATAGAGTGGTATGTTCCGTAGCATGACCGGTGCCTTATCTTATGTAAAAAGTGTAAAGTCGAAAACCGTGTTTGAGTTTCTAGCAAGTCAGTCATCTCAAGTTAAAATCTATTAACTTTCAAGTTAGCCACTTAGGTAGGCAATCCGACTTCGTCGGATCGCGGACAATGTGCTACAGCAAATCAGGTAGGCAATCCACCTGCGGTGGATTGCAGACCCGACGTCAAGCGGCTATAAGTGAAAACCCTATCACACAACTTACGAAATAATTTACGAAAAATTCAAGCTATATACAATATACATACAAACAAATATGATATGTATTTATTGTGTGATATAATATAACAATGAACATTCTGAGAAATGTGCTATTATAATTCCTAAAAAAAATTTACATATAGGTAGATAGTTAGATAGGTACACACTATTATATTAACCAATACAATAAATATAAACATGTACCTATAGTGTATATACATATATTAATTAAAAAAAAAAATGCAAAAACCTGCATGTTAAAGTGTCTATCAAGTCAATCATCACCGTTTAATACGAAACTAAAATGAGCAATCCGCCTATCACCTATATATAGTAGGTATATCACATAGAGTGGTATATGTGCCTTCGCATGTCCGGTGCCTTTTCTTATGTAAAAAGTGTAAAATCGAAAACCGTGTTGGAGTGTCTAGCAAGTCAGTTATCTCAAGTCAAAATCAAGATTAACTTTCAAGTTAGCCACCTAGGTAGGCAATCCGAAATAAAATACAAACTATATTTATATAACAATCATGGAAATTTTAAAAAATATGCAATTATAATAATTCCTAATAAAACAAAATATAAAATATGTACCTATTTATTGTGTGATATAATATGACAATGACTTTAAATAATAATAATGTTCTTGTATTATTATATTATTATTTAATTTATATGAAAAATATAGTGAAAAAAAAATGCAAAAAAAGCCGGGTTTCGGGCGGCCGTGTGGTTCTTACGGCAATGACGATACGACGCCCGGACGGCGTACGGCGGATTTGAACTCGGGACCAACGGGTTTCCTACCTAACGCCTAACCTACTCGGACACAGTTTGAGATGTGGATTACGGTCAAAACATCAACACTTAAGCCGTGCGTCCACGGAGCGACGTAAACCGATATATTCGATGTACATCGATGTAATCGCATATAATTCGCTTGTAATACGCGCATCTCCCATATATTTATTTAACGGAGCGTGTGAAAAGCGTTTTTCGTTAATAATTATTAAATTATACACGTAAATACATGTATATATACGCGTACGGTCGGTCGGTCGCCGGCGTAATTTATAAACGCGATTGCGAGGCGAACGAACCGATTTCGGGGGAAAAGCCCATATAAACGGCTTTAAAAAGACGTCGACTACACGATTCGGGCACAAACGGCGTGCGAATAGACGAAACGATGGGAGAAAAGGAAAAAATCGGCAAAAAAGTCCGGTCGGGAGTGTATTTTTCGATCGATATTGCGACCGCTTCGGACGGCGCACGAATATAAACCGCACACCGGCAGCTTCGAATTAAGTATAAAAAAGGACCAAAAGGGTCGACATCGTGTAAAAACAGCTAATTTTCCGAAAATTTAAAAAATCGGCGAATGATAGGAAAAGAGGTGATAACGAAAAACGTTTTAAAACCGACCGCCGCCGCTGCGAAGGTACGCGATTGGTCGCGCTATAAGGAATCGACGGGACTTGGCCGGCGGGCTGGGGAAACGGAGCGGTGCTTCATTTTTTACTCCACGGTTTCACTCTAACTGCGTTTTCCGTTCCACGGGTTGCTTGTAGACAGCTGATTTCCTTGTCATTTTATATATTAGGATTATTATTATTATTATTATGCTATAGTTATCGATTTATAACTTGATTAAAACTGGAAAGTTCGTTTTGATTTTGTTTTATATGTTTGTACAATATGTATTACTCTTGATTTCTTGAAATATAATTACTTTTATTACTAAAATGATTTGTGTTATTTATTTTTACTCATCCAATTCCTTTTATATGAAAAACAAACACACTATAACTTGTGTCACAAATGGTTAGTAGGTACTAATAGAATTGTACATTGATTATTTGATATTATCAACTATATTACTATCAATATTATTAGATTCTGAGCGGAGTGAGGGATCTATTGGTTTTTCAATATTGATTATATTTATTTTTATTTTTTCCTGCATACAAAATTTCTACCAGAAGCAGTTCTTCGCTTTTAACATATAGTATATCTTTTCTTTTAGCAAATTTTATCAAGATGGTACTTTAGAGATGTAATTTTTCAATTTTCTCAATATTTATTTAATGACACATTACAATTTCACCGACAAATTTCAAAAACCGCTAAAAATGTGATTTCAATTTCTAACACTTTGTTTATCACCATTGTAACAAATAAAATAAAAATAATGATTTTAGTTATTTTATCTTAATTTATAATATTAATTCAACTTACAGGCTATAATAAAATATAATTACAATATAAAATATCCAGACTGACAAACCGTCTCCGCTCAGAATCGTTTTTCGTATACAATGATATGATATCATTGAATTCAAATTTAATACAATCTATTATATAGTGACTAAGTATTGTAATCTACTGTACAGCAGAGCGACATCCACTTACCCGCTTTTTAATATTCATTATTATAATATGGGAGTTGTGAGGCAAAACCCTTAGGTACGGCTTATTTTGAAACCATTTTTTTCATCCCCCTCCATTGAAATATCCTGAGAACGCCTCTGGATTTTAAGTATTATATTATTATTAAAAAAAAAATGGTCATCTCTTGTTCTGCATATAATTGTACTCAAAGGTATACAAAAGGAGTTTCTTTTCATG